GGTGCGCCGCCCGCCTCGCGCAGATTGGCCGCGCGCGCGTCAGGTGGTGGCGATGACTTAATTCCCCAGCACCAGAAAATAAATGTTAAAAACCGGTTATGTAATTATTTTTAATTTTTTTTATGGTGCTGCTTACCCTTTCTTTTTTTTTAAATTATCCCATCCCTGCAGTGAATATGCTGCATATTTCCTCATCTTTTAGGGGAGGGGGGATAAAATAAAATACAGGCGGCACCGAGCCCGTTTGCCACAGCGTTGATTCCACACACAAAAAAACGCTTGGTAATCAGGTGTAGGGTGGGCTTTGATTGGTGGGGTGCCTTCTATTTTTAATTAATACCTCATGGACGGCTCCTCCGACCCTCCTTACCCGCCTGCCTTCGGAACGGCGGAAACTCCACGCAGCTCCCGGGGTGGCGGGTTGACAGAAGCTTTGTCAGGCACGGAGAGGGTCTCCGGTGGCCGGTGTTTTGGCGTGGTGGGGGTGTGAGGAGGACGAAAGGTGTGTGTAATGTGGAGAACCGGGGGTGTGGGACAACCGGGGCGCTGCCCTCCCTCCTCCTCCTCCTCCTCCTCCGCCGCTCCGGCCGCGATTCAACCACCGCCGCGGGCGCCTCACCCCCGGGAGCTGGCGGCTGAAGCCACGCCCCCATCCTCCTCTCTGATTGGCCAGCCGGCATTTGTTGGCCTGTTGCTAAGGCGATGCCAGCCGCTGATTGGATGGTGGGGACGGAGTGTGGCGGGGGGGTGAAGAGAGCAGGTTGCCCTGCCCGCAGCCGGCGCGCGCCGGCCGGCAGCGGGGCGGGGACTCTGCTGGAAAGTCTACCAACAGAGTTGCTATATCCACTTCAAATATGTATAGGGGATGCTCTCTGCTTCAATTCACTGTGTCTTTTCTGCTTTAGTATTCCTTCCAGGTGTACCACAGCTTGAGAAGAAACCGATACACTCCCCCCCTTTTTTTTTTATTGTTTAAAAAAAATAAAAAAATTCATATTTCACATATTTAATTTTTTATGCCCCTATCCCTCACGTTGTTACACGTTCCGTCCCCCCCCCCCTCTTTTCAGTGCGTTTTTTCTTCCCTGGCCCTGAGGGCTGAAGGTGCGTTGGTGTCGATAACTTGCCTTTTTTTTTCTTTTTTTTTTTTCTTTTCGGTTTATTTCTCTATATTTTATTTTTATATATTTTCCGTGCTCCGGCAGGACAATGGGAACTTAAAACCCCCCCGCCTGCCTCCATTAATGCTTCACACCATTAAACGTAAGCTTCTTCGCACCATCTCACTACATATCCCTTTATTTTTTTATTCTTCCAGCCCTTTCTATGTGCCCGGTTACTATTTTTATTTTTTTTCCCCCCTCTCTCAACTTTCTATTTTGGTGGAGTCAGCATTTTGCGTTTGGTTTTTTTTCTGGTTTTATAGTAATCTTGTCGTAATAAACCGCAAATTTGTTGCAGCTTTTAAAGGCACCCAAGAAATTGGGGCCATAAACAAAGGTCAACTTTTCTTGGTGGGTCCAGCAAACATCGGGGTCTGCGCTGTCCAAGCGAGATCGAGTAAACCTGCCCAAAATAGAAAAAGTTTAGCTTTGGACAGTGCTATTTGGGCAGCTTGCCATTTTTTATTTATTTTCCGTGCCCCTGAATTGATCTGGTACTTTCCAGGTGGTGTGTGGACACCCTTTTTATTTATTCCACCCCCCTTCCTTTTCCTTTTTTTTTTTTTGGGTGAATAATTTCTGGACACTGTTGCCAGGCAGGAGATAAAAGGAAGCCGAATTACTAAATTTAATCTTACGCAGCAGACTTTGTGCAGAACGCCTAATGCTGTTAAAGAGCCATCTCTTTAATTTTAACTAGGGATCGCGGTGGAGAGCAGGGTTTCCATCACACATCCCGCAGGCAGGCCTTGAAATGGCAGCAGTTGAACTGTGTCAGTGTTCAGGGCCGGGGGGGGAGATGACTATACATTAAAGCAATTTAAGCTCTGCTTCTCTGTAAGGTGGATGTGCCAATCTTGCCTACCCTTCTGTAAGTAAGATTTGTCCCACATTCCAGCCATTAACACAAATGGAGCTGAGACCCTTGTGTCTGAGCCTCCATGTTCTTAGGTGCTGTATATCGTGTGTAAATCCATTTTATTCTGCAAGAGAAGCCGGTGTAATGTATAAAATGTGTGCAAGCGGTGTAGTATATTGTATTTTATTTTATTTTTTTTCCCCTCCCCCATCTAGACGATGACAATTCAGAAGAAGGCCTTCACACCATCCATTCAGGAAGGCACGAATATGCATTCAGCTTCGAGCTTCCACAGACGTAAGTGCCAGCACTTAGTCCTCCTCGGCCCACCCGAGGAAAACTCCTGCTGTGGGTGGAGGGGAAACCTTTTCAATGGTGGTAGGAATTGTGCTCTTGACATGCGGCGGAGGACATAATCTCATTAAACTGAAGAGGTTGCTTTTAAACTGATACGCACTTCCTTTATTATTTTTTTTTAATTTCCACAAAGTGGGAGCTCGTTGCTGCCCAGTTGCTCACTTTCCTTTGACCAAGTCCTACTGACTTGTTAGGTCTTCCAATATTTTACCCCTTCCCAAGAGGAAGGAGAGGAATTTGAGCCATTACTGGAGTCCTGCAGAGTGGCTGACATACCTTCTAATGCAACCAACAGTTCACTGGACCAGCAGAATTAGAGATAAAAACAGAGCTGAATTGTTTTGGGCTAGGTCTGGAACAGATGTGGCAAGTTTAACTACCTCTTTAAATAAAGTTTAGCTACAGTTGAATAAAAGAGGAGGAGGTTCTCGTTTCAATAGGGTGTATGTATCCAGGCTGGCCTTGATGCAGAAAGCCCGAATGGAAATAAGCAGAAGGATGGGAGGATGAAGAGAGAAAAATTCCAGTACCTAATCCCACCTGTGTGAGAAAGCAAAGGTGAAGAAAAGAGGGAGACCAGAATGGTTAAGAAAAAGGTTGTTCCCCCACTCTCTGAGTCTGAAATGTGTAATGTCAACTTTGTGAATGGAAGATTTATACATAAAGGAATTAACAATATAGAAGTTAGCTAAAAATACCACTTGCAATAAAATCAAATACATGGGAACAGGGGGAGTCTCAACATAGATGGAAAAAAGGCTTTTTTTTTTTTGTTTAAAAAAAAAAAGCAAGCAGCGAAGTCATTATGGTTGAAAAAAAATTAACAGTGTTGTATATGAAATAGCTCAGTACCTAATACTGAAGCTAATAAACGTTTAAAAAAAAAAAAAGCAGCGAAGTCATTATGGTTGAAAAAAAATTAACAGTGTTGTATATGAAATAGCTCAGTACCTAATACTGAAGCTAATAAACCGTCTGTATATGAGAGGTGCTGGTTTTAGCAGAACCTGCAGACGATAAACACGGGTCAGAATGAAGAGCACAAGATGTTACTGGAACAGTAGAGAACACACGTATATGCGGAGATCTTTTTTTAAGACACTTTAGTGTTCTCTGGAAATCTCAACTGAAAAAAATAGGGCCAATACCGATCTTCCCTTGATTTGGAAGGGGCATATAAATACGAGAAAATTAGATGTAGTATGTGAATTTGAAATGTTTAGCTTGAAGTGAAGCACATCGCCAGCAAAATATTAAATATGAGAAAATGAGACGTAGTACGCGAATGTGCAATGTTTAGCTTGAAGTGAAGCACATCGCCAGCAAAATAGCACAAGTATTGGCCAAAACACAGCTTCTTTTGAAGTGACCCAAAGGAATAACTGTTAAACCAGCAGTAGATAATACTGAAAAAGCAAAGGCTGGTATTAAAAGCCTGAAGTTTGACACTGCCTTCTTACTTTGTTTCCATTGGATACTTCCAAAATTTACTTAAACTTACAGAGCAACAGTGGAAAGAAAGAGGACACACACCGGCCTTACTGGCTTTTGCCTTGAAGAACATGGGGCAGGAGGAAACATTGAAGACCAATTAGAAAATCCTTTAATTTGGAATATTGGGAGTGGGGGGAGAGGGGGAAAGTAAACACTTCAGATGTGCAAATAGCCTGTAACTGGAAGAATCATTCTATTTAAATACCAGCATGGCTAGTATTATCCCATACGGAAGCTTTGCAAATAATTTATGTTTAATTTTTATATATTACAATGTATTCACAGAGTCACAGGGGTTGGAAGGGACCTCTGAAGATGACCTAGTCCAACCTCTCCTACTAACGCAGGCTCACCTGGAGCAGGTTGGACAGGAACACATCCAGGCGGAGTTTGAGTATCTCCAGAGAAGGAGACTCCACACCCTCTCTGGGCAGCCTCTTCCAGGGCTCTGCCACCCTCAAAGAAGTTTTTCCTCCCGTAGAGATGGAGTTTCCTGTGTTCCAGTTTGTGCCCATTGCCCCTTGCCCTGTCACCAGGCATCATGGAGAAGAGCCTGACCCTATCCTCTTGACACTCAGCCTTTACATAATGCTCAGCACTGATGAGGTTCCCTCTCAGTCTTCTCTTCTCCAGGCTAAACAGCCCCAGGTCTCTCAGCCTTTCCTCATAAGGGAGATGCTCCAGTCCCTTGATCATCTTCATAGGCTCCACTGCACTCTTTTTGGTAGTTCCTTGTCTGTCTTGAGCTGCAGAGCCCAGAAGAGGACACAGTGCTCCAGATGTGGCCTCACCAGGGCAGAGGGGGAGGATAACCTCCCTCAAGCTGTTGGCCACCCTCTTCTTGATGTAACTCAGGAGACCTTTGGCCTTCTTGGCCACAAGGGCACATGGCTGCCTCATGGGCAACTTGTTGTCCACCAGCTGTCCTTCTCCACAGAGCACTTCCCAGCAGGTCAACCCCTAACCTCTACTGGTGTGTGGGGTTATTCATCCATAGGTGCAGGACCCTACACTTGCCCTTTTTGAACTTTATTGGGTTCCTCTCAACCCTGTGCTCTGGCCTGTACAGGTCCTCTTGAATGGTAGCACAGCCTCCTGGGGTGTCAGCCACTTCTCCCAGCTTTGTGCCATCAGCAAACTTGGGTTGTTTAGGAGCGTGTTGAAGAAAGCTGGACCCAGTAGTGACCCATGGGGAACACCACTAGTTACAGGGTTCCAGCTAGACTCTGTGCCACAGATTACAACCCTCTGAGATCAACCATTCAAAACACCATATACTAGGAAAGAAAATGTTTCTTCATAAAAATAAGGATGTCCATAAATTATGGACATCAGCTGTTAATTGGAGATAGCTGGCATGTAAAGATCTGCTTGTCTTTCAAAGAAGGTGATGCTGAAAGGTTTGGAGATCCTTTCTGCAACATTTTTACTCCAGCTCCTGAAAAGGACAGCTTTCATCTGACAAAGTTCAAAGCAGGGCTTGACGACTTTATGTTTATATATGCTTATATGCATACATCCATATACAATATAGATGCTTTAAGCTGGTCTCGTCAGAGTAGAGGAAAATTAGAAGGTGCTGTAAGCTGCCTTTCTCTTCAGAACTCAAAATTGAAATATTTACTCTGCTCAAGGCAAAACAAACTAAAAAAGTGCTGAGTTACAGCTAAAATAAGCCTGGCATTGAGGTACCAGCCAAGTAAACAATAGACAATTATTTACAAAATACAATATCAAAAACAGTAATTGGTTGACACTAACGCTAATTTTAAGTTGGTAGTCTTAATTTGTCCTTAAAAGGGCATGCTGTAATCTCGATGTGAAAGCAGCCTCTTTAGTTTAAAGGAAATGTGTACTCTCCTGGCATTTGCTAGTACAATTCTTTAATTGATTCTTAAAATCCATGCAAAACTACAATACGATGAATTGGAGATGATTTTTTCTCCCATCTTTTAATCTTGAGTCTTTCTGAGAATATGGAAACTTTGCAAATAAGTTACGCTGCATTAAATACTAAAAGTGCATTAAAAATGCAATTCTATATACTAATACCTGATCTGATCAATTGTATCATTATTAGACAGAAAGATGTTACTCAATTTTGACCTTTGTGTCCTGCACAGACCACTTGCTACCTCATTCGAAGGCAGACATGGCAGTGTGCGCTATTGGGTGAAAGCCGAATTGCATAGGCCTTGGTTTCTACCAGTAAAATTAAAGAAGGAATTTACAGTCTTTGAACATATAGATATCAACACTCCTTCATTACTGGTAAGAATTGACAGAGTTACTCCTTCTTTATTTCTGACATAAAAATAATGAAAGTATATTAACTGAAACGATATCCACATCTAATTTTACGTAATATTTATTGGCTAGTCTGGTTACTGCTGATCTTCTAAGTGTTACATCACTTCAGCAGCTCTGTAACTACTGGTAGTTTGAAAGCTGTGTTTTCCTGTACTTGGAGTTGCTTCACTTTTAAAATATATAAAATGGCTTTGTCAATTTAAATTGATGATACTAAATCATAAAATGTCACTAAGAAGGAAAATTTTGAAAACTGTTCCTCTTTGCTTTTAAATACAGACTAATCTATGGAAGGAACAGAGATTCTTAATATTACATTGAGAGACTGCTAACTTAAAAATGCAAAGTAAATAAATGTACTGGCGTGCATAATTGATAATTTCCATATGGATAGTTTTCTACCAATGGGGAGAAATTATCACAATTCTGTATAATCTTTTCTGAAAAGTCATTTCATTAAAATAATTTCAGTATCACAGCTCATTTCAATGAGGATTTGATTTCAATCTGGCCTAAAATTCCTTTTTCTCTTTTTTTTCCTCCTCTTCAAATTCTAAGGGGAGGAAAAAAAAAAAACCAACTCAAAGTCCATTGAAATAGGTTTCTTGTGTGTATGGGTGAAAAATCAGACGTGCAAAGGGATACTGGCCTCGCACAAATTCCATTAAAATCAAAGGGTTCCCTTTTGACTTTAATGGGCTTTGGATCAAGTCCTAAACCCTGATACCATGTAAAATAACAGTCTGTTGAATATAGATGAAACAGGATCTTTCTGAAACAGAGGAAATAGCACGAGTCAAGGTTACAGTACTTAAGCATAGTTATTGTTTCTGAAATGCAGTGTATTGGAAAGATGTTCTAGTTTACTGATAAATTAAAAGCTCTGCAGAGAACATGTTGGGATATGTAGGCTGTAAAGCCTTTTCTTAAATTATACAGTATTTATGTATAAAAACTCTTCTAAGTGTGACTGTAGTATGGAATGTAGCAGCAAAAGCACTGTTAATGAGTAATGGAATTAGAATAAACCTTGTATCTGCACAGTGCCATTTAAATTGTTTGAGGTCTTTTCCTCCAAATAAAACCAGCTGTGTTTCTCAAAACACGTAATAAGTAGTACATTAGGAAAATAATCTATTGTGTTGATTAAAATAGGTGAAGAGTTCATGGAACTCTTAATTAAACGGGTAATGTTCTTCTTTTCTTGCAGTCACCCCAAGCAGGCACAAAAGAAAAGACTCTCTGTTGTTGGTTTTGTACCTCAGGCCCAATATCCTTAAGTGCCAAAATTGAAAGGAAGGGCTACACCCCAGGTACGTAACAGAAGTAATTATAGGAAATGTTTTTCCTTCCCTTTTAAAATGACAGTTTGTACTTACTGCTTTTGTATAAACGAAATATTTAAACTATTCTTGCCACTTCAGTCTGCACTCAGCAATCTCCTCAATATTTTCTTTCTAATTTTGTTAACTAATGCTAGCTGGATCTCCAGATTGTCAAAGGACATCTGCTGCTCCTAGACCTGTGTGTTTTTCTTTCAGATAAATAATGGTCATATTCCTGTTACCATCAGTGGTTGTTTTTCAAAGTAGAGCATTACTGTCAGTGCCCAGTGCGTTATACACAGAATGTGGCAACTTGCTTAAGCTGCCTTGTAAATGCAAAGAGAACATGAAAATGTGTTTTGTTTCAGGTGAATCAATTCAGATCTTTGCTGAGATCGAGAACTGCTCTTCCCGTGTGGTGGTGCCAAAGGCAGCCATTTACCAAACGCAGGCATTTTATGCCAAAGGGAAAATGAAGGAAGTGAAACAGCTTGTTGCCAACCTGCGTGGGGATTCCTTGTCATCTGGCAAAACGGAAACCTGGAATGGCAAACAGTTGAAAATTCCACCTGTTTCCCCTTCGATCCTCGACTGTAGTATAATCCGCGTGGAGTATTCACTGATGGTATGTTGGGTGGTCGGCTTCACCTGAGCATGAGTAGTTTTCACCATTCCTTGCAAATGTTGTGGTGTGCCAGCTAAGCAGACTTGTTACGAGTAGATGACATTTCTGTGCAAGGAAATACCATGATAAGAATCAAGAATACTGAGCTGCTTTTGATTCGGGGAGCTTTTTGTCTGCATATGGGCATTGGCCCTAAAACAGACAGTAAGAAAATTCCGTGGGCAGAGAAGTTAGTGTAATTATTGTGCAGTGCTCGTAAATGAATGTTCTAATCATACACCTCTGTTGCTCTTTTAGGTATACGTTGATATTCCAGGCGCCATGGATTTATTCCTCAACCTACCACTGGTCATTGGTACCATTCCTCTACACCCGTTTGGTAGCAGAACATCGAGTGTGAGCAGCCAGTGTAGCATGAACATGAATTGGCTTGGTCTGACACTGCCTGAAAGACCAGAAGGTAACTTGACAACAAAAATCCCCATCAATTTGCTAGTCTCCTTTGGTTTGTCTGCTTTATTCGTTGCTGTTGTGCAAACAGACCCAAATTAGATCCTTCATAATGAAGCCGGGAGGAAATCCCTGGCCACCTGCTTGTCCTCTGCAGAAGAACAGAGTTCCCTCCCTGCCTTTTTCTCTCAAGGACAAGCAGTGACATCCATCCTGCTGCTTGGAAACTGGCACTAGTGAAGGTGCAGGATGCCCCTGTACCTGTGCAGAATTAATTTTGCCTCCAGTATCCCAATTATATCCTTGGTTATAAGCCTTGTAATAGCAGTTCATGGTACCCTTTACTTGCCTGAGCAGCCAAGGCTTTGTGAATGTCATTCATTTCAAGGGCGAAATGAATGCTTGTCAAGGGAGAAAAACTCTCGTATCTCCTTCCCTCTGTTTTCCTATATCTAATAAACATCCCTTTTTATGTACAAATCCCAGACTCGGATTTGTGAACTCCAGAAGAATGCAACATTCTATCATGCCTACCTGTACAGAAATTCAGTATTCTGAGCATGCTTTAAATTTTAAATTAAGCCTCAATAAGCGGTGGCCGGTCTGCTTTCAGATTTGAGCATAATCCCAAAAATGAAACAAAACAGCCTGCCCTCCCTTTCCTGTTCACCAACTGTTAAAAAAGTCACCGAAGTCGTTTACCTACCCGCTGGTGCGGGTTTTACGGTGGTGGAAGTTTAATATTTATCACGTTAACGTATTTTGACATGCATAAGAACTTGTTGTTTGAGCTGTGTGTGCGTTTCCCCTGCAGCACCCCCCAGCTATGCAGAAGTGGTCACGGAGGAGCAACGACAGTCCAGCCTGGCACCCATCGGGGCGTGCGACGACTTCGAGAGAGCGCTTCCAGGACCACTCTTTGCATACATCCAGGAGTTCCGTTTCCTGCCTCCACCCCTCTATTCAGAAGTAGGTACCTCTGCTTCACCGTTCCGCTGAATTCCATTTTCTCTCCTTCCTGAATCCAGGAGAAATCATTAAAAGGATGAATAGGAGAAAACGAGACTTTGCTTTACCAAAGTGTAGGTGAATTGCATCAAGAGTTTTCAGGATCCTTCATAACTCTAATGCTTTGTAGAAATTTCCAAACTGTTCCTCTTAGGAACTTCATTAAAACCTTTGCATTGCATTGTGTATACAATACGTGGCATTGATCAACACCAGCATTTTGAATGTATAGATGCACAACATGGTAACGTTTTTCAGCTCTACTTCTTTCTGAGACTACTTTCAGTCCATTTTTTGGTCTGTAGAGCTTTCAGAATTCCCATTGGGAAATCTCCTTGAGTCTCCTTTGGCTAAATCTTAGCTGAATTCACCCACTGTTCATTTTTTTCTTGTATTGCCTTAAAACTCTAAACTACTATTGAGTGGGCAGAGTGGGGCATGGTTTTTGTTTGTGCTGGAGACTTCTCTGAGGATGCTTCTATAGCTTAACCCTAGAATGCCGTTCTTAGGCCATTCTAGCTTTAAGTAATTAAAGATTTAGGAAGAAGCCTTTCTTGTCCTCAAAAATGGTTGTAGAGGATCGATGAGTGTTGACTAAACTACATATTGTACATTTACACTATTCTTAACTATGCAGTTTTGGGAGACTGAAGTTAGCAGGTTGTTCCCTTCTTCCTTTTGTAGAAAAGAAAAAAAGAGGTCAGGTGTGGAATGCTTGAACTTGTTAGACATTTTATGGGGTGTTTGAGGATTAATTACTTGTAAATTAAAAGTAGAGTGAATATTTACTCATAACTTTGTCTTCTGACTCAAAACATCTTCTGAAATCAACTAAATATTTTTAAGTAACGTTTTTAGTGATGAGTCAAGTTCTTCTTAGTGTACAGTAAATAATTCAAAAGATTTCTGTGCTATTAAAGCAGATCTCTTTCAAGTTTTTTATTAGTTCTTTGTGCTTACACTTAAGTTATCATCAACTTGTAGTTTAAAATTATCCATTATACCTAGTTACTAATTTTTCATTCAAAGTTTTGTCTTAATTGCCTAGAGGTTTCTCACTTACTGAAAAACCTTTGGTCTGGGAATGTGATTTATCACTACAGTTGTCTTAAACTTGTCGGTTTTGGTGGGGTTTTGTTTGGATTGGTTTCTTTCTAGCGATGGACTCTAAAAATGCCTTGTGTTGTTTTCTTTTTTTGTCCTCCCTTGGCTAGATTGACCCAAACCCGGATCAGCCCACAGATGACAGACCATCTTGCCCCTCTCGCTGAAGGAATCCACAGAAAGCTGACTTGACTTGGGTTCTGAATCCTACCTGCCGTGTTGAAGGTCAAGGAGTCGTAGTGGAGACACGCTTTCAAGGGAAGTGGTTTTGCTCTTGCCTGTATGGTGAATTAAACGAAAACAACCTGTGATCATGCTTCGAAGCCTACGGTAACGTTGTAGGACTGCTCCACATGCTTGAAGACCTGAGCTTTTTATTTTTTTTCCCCCCTCCCTTCCTTAAATACTGGCACATACTAGGAGCAGCCTTACTAACCTACAGTCATGTGTGTCAAAACACTCAAACCACATTGTAAGAGAGGGATGGCTTCCTCTTCTGATTTGGAAATTTGCACATGCTCATTGCTTACGTTGTGCGGTTCGGTGTCACTACAGCTTTTTCTCATTTATGCCGGACTGTTGTTACCCCCCCCCTTCTTTGTTTGTGGTCCGCACAATAAGGAGCAAAAGAAAGCTTTGACAAAAAAAAAAAAAAAAAAAAAGGAAAAAAAAAAAAACAACAGCAACAGACTTTGACAAATGCACTGACTTTTTTCTTTTTTTAATTTAATGTAGCCTGGACTTTACCTGCATATGCACATGCTCAGAATTGTCCTAGTAGGCTGATCATGTATCACCTCTTCAGCTTGGATCCTATTGTGGATTTATTTACAAACATCAAATGCCTTCAAGCCAATCCTTCTTGCTGTATGTTTTGCAGCCTACTGTAGTAGATAAGCAACAGATAATGGGGATAAGGAGGGGGGTGGAGAGTTAATAGAAAGAAACTAATAGACTTCATTGAGATTGTATACTTTCTTGATTTCTTTTAAGAATTTGTTGCCTTTCTACTATTATTGCAAAGCAGCATTTTGTTACAGACTGCCTAAAAATCACTTAATCTCAGGTGAACTCATCACTTGCCAAACTGTTGGAATGCTATTTGTTTTGTTACGTTGCACTGTTGAGTTACTTCTTCTTTTTGTTTTGTGTTTGTGTTTTGTTTTTATTCTTTACTCGAGAGGGAGATCTGGAATAGGGACATACACAAAAGTTACAAACCCCACCCTCATTCTCATTTTGCTTTCTGTGTTACGAAAAAAAAAAGATGTTTGCCCATGGCAGAGAGGTTGGAACTAGATCATCTTCAAGGTCTCTTCCAAGTCCAACCTTTCTATGATTCTATGTTCAAGTTGTGAAGCTTTAAAAAAAGAAAAAGAAAAAAAAAAAAAAGGAAAAAAAAAAAAAAGGCACAAATGAAAGCAGCACCAGCAGACACCACCTCAGCCTCAAAAGCATTTTAAAAGGAAATAGTCATACGCTGTCTAGGATTCATAGACAGATCGATATCTCAAGTAGTGGGATGGGAAGGGAAAGTAAGTTTATTTTTATATATAGTTAACCTAATCCCCAAAAATTCTATATGTAATGAGTCTCTAGTAGAAAGTATATTTCAAACTGCAGGAAAAGCTTGGACTATGCTAAGAGCTCAGTTTATGCACTTTCTATTATCTTCAGGGTTTATGATACTGTAAAATTAGTAAGACTAGAAGTATAATTAAACTGGGCAAGATCAGTGTTACCAGCCATACTCAGATATCAGCCGGAGTTGCTTCGATGGTTTGCATCTTCCGTTGTACTCTCTAAAGAGCTTTAAAACAAACAGAAACGTGGCATTTGTTCAGAAATCACACGGAAAGAGCACTCGCCCTTGAACGTGTGCCCCAAGGAAGGAAAGAGTGCAGGGGGACCCGTGAGATGCGCGAACACAAATGCCAGCACTCAACATGCTAGAGATCTGCAACAAAAGTCAACTTTCCTCTTCAGAAACCGTGTACTTGCAGAGACCCCTTGGCAAAAGGGACACGCTTCTGGTGTTGATGAGTTAAAACACAAAAATCGAGATGTAATCCTTCAAGTATCTATCCTTGTGCAATAAAAAAAAAAAAAAAAACCAGCTCAGAAGGGAGCGGGAGAGGGGGAGGCTGGTGTTGCTGCGTGGTGCTCGTTCTTAAAAAAAAAAAGAAAAAAAGAAAAAAAAAAAACCTCTGCCTTGTTTTTAAGGCTTCATAAATGCGACAAAATAGGCTTTTCCATAAGTGGCCTTCCTGAGAACATGAATGATAATTCATGTTTCAGAAATGACAACAGGGTGATAACAATGAGTCGCGTTTTAAGTGATTCAGTTTAAAAGGCTTGGGCTTCGAGCAAGAGATTTGGACGAGAAGGAAATTGGGTGATGTCTTAACGTTATTAGGCCAATTTTGTGAATGTCCCTTCCCTCTACCCTCTCCAACCAGACAATTTTAAAAGCTGATGGGATCGTTGGCATAAAAGGGCATTTGGTGGTTTTACTTTTTTTTTCCTTTTTTATTACTTTTAACAGACTAGGGAACAATTGCTGGTATACATAGCATTAAAGTACTTATCACAATATAATGGAAAATTGCATATGAAGCAGGATTGACCAATATTGTAGTAATTGACATGGCATCACAGCCTTTGTGATTAGAGTGAAAAATTCTATTACCTTATCAAATAAAAAGACTTTTGAGTTCAAATTACGTTGTTAGTTGTTCAGAGGCATTACTCTTCCACAAATATTGGTCAATTCTCAGCATTATAAAACATGAGGTTCACAGTTGTAGCCCAGTATTTGATAGAGAATTCTGATCTGAATTAGGAAAAAGTAAGTAAAATCCAAACATTAGAGAAACAAAGTGCAATATTAAATGTTTGCTTTATAGATTATATTCTATGGCTGTTTGTACTTTTTCTTTTTTTGTTTTTAGTTTTGGTGCTGAATATGTCCTTGTAGACTCTGTTTCAAGAAAACAATATGTGGAAAACAATTTAATTTTTCCTATTGCTCTTCCTTGTGGAAAATAAACTTTTTTTTTTTTTAAAAAAAAGGCTTTTAAATCTTTTCACTGTAGGTCATAATTCTTTATGTATGACCTCAATGTTTTATGAAAAACATGACTGTATAAAATAATAACCATGAGGATCACGTAGTACAGGAACTTAGACTATCGGAGGACGTGTACTACCTGTCTCAAACTAGATAGGGAGAAGGTATTTCTAGAAACACTGATTTCCATGAAAGTGCAGTTTTGTCACCCTCTGCCCCTTGTGTCCTCTTGGGGCTAGGTCCCAGGTGGGAAATTCATGATTTCCTATGTTGGAAAGTCCCATTAACTTCCCAGGACACGCTGTTGGTGTCTGTGGTGACCCTAGTTCAGGTGTCTGGTCCCTTCCATGACACCTGACTGCAGGGCAGGGAGGGGACAACACACCTTTTGGTGGAACGGGGAGGAATATGGGGAAGGGGGATGGATTTGGGAAAGGGGAATGACCCCGAAGGTCTGGGACTTGAAGTTTGTGGATGTGAGGTGGAGAAGGTGCCCTTTGCCATTCATTGGAAGGTCCAGCCTGACCAGGTGTTGGGAATGTCCACCTGTGGCTTGAGGTGGACGTTCTCTGCCCGGCCGGGTGAGGCTCTGTGAGGTCCTCCTGTGGCTCCCCAGCGTGCCAGCAGCACAGCCCTATCCATGGAATCTGGTTTCCGCATACCAGGCACAGCTGAACCTCTGGCGCGACGGGACTGTTGTCACCCCTCAGTCTCAGCTTGACCTCGGAGAAGGTTCAGCCGGCGAGCGGCCAGGGCCCTGGGCGGCCAGCGTGACCTGCTCTTCTCCCCACAGGGGTTGGGGCACTGAGGACCACCACATCCCCATAGTACCCTCATTTAATGGTGCGGCTGATGACATGGACAGCCCAAACTTCTGATGCATCTCCATGCGAAATACATAATCCCTCTCTGAAACAAAGCCTTTCAGCTTCATTTTTGAGTTTGTAGCTGCTCACCAAGTCCCAGGAGACAGGACAAGGGGAAATGGCCTCAAGTTGCACCAGGGGAGGTTTAGATTGGATATTAGGAAACATTTCTTCATGGAAGGAGTTACCCAGCATTGGAATAGGCTGCCCAGGGAAGGGGTTGAGGCACCATCCCTGGAGGTGTTCAAAAGACGGGTTGACATGGTCCTCAAGAATCTGGTTTAGTGAGTTTTTTGTTTAATTTCTTATTTTTCTTGTCAGAGTTAGGCTGATGGTTGGACTAGATGATCTCTAAGGTCCCTTCCAACCTAGACGATTCTATGATGGAGGATCCAGGTGGACATTTTAAAGGTGTTTTTTTTCCCCCTACTCATAACACAGTCAAATAATTTTTGTGCCCGAGTTCTGGTTCTAACCCAAAAGAAATGTAAAATAAAACACGCAATTTCATTTTGTTTGTCTGCTTGGAAGCCCTTCATGGCTGGGTGACTATCAATAGTATTTTTTCAATAGTACCAACCCAACCTTAATTTTTCCAATACCAGCCCAACCCTTCTTGGTAACCACGTCTAGTGCAGTGGGGCAGCATTAGAATTTAAATTGGCATCAGCATCACTTAAAGGACACGCGATAGGTGTACAAATTCTATCAGTTTTGAACAACGTTTTCTCAAAATCATCCATTTTTAGACCAGCGGCTCTATTTCACAATTAATTCAAGCTTGGCTTTATGAGTTTTATTCTTTGAGATGCAGTTTTCTTTTTTTTAAATGCAAATGTTGCTTATTTCTGAATATTTAAAATAGAAACCTCTGCTGCACCAGAACAGCTCCTCCACATCGACTGTCCATAAAATTTACAGAAGGGTGGCAGGTTGGAATGGTGGAGCACGGGAGCTCCTCAGAGATACAAGGCCACCTTGTTGGAAAACTGACCAACACCTTTTCTGGCAATTCTCTGGCTAAAACACATAGACTAAAACACTTTTTAACCCTGTTCCAGATTTAAGCCTTTTTGTGTGTTGCAGAAACCCAGCCCCAGACACTGTAGCGTTCGGCAGCACTGGCCACAAGGATGGAGCCCCGTGGCAGAAGGGAAGAAGGGTCTCCAGAAGCAGGGCCTGAAGCTGGGTGTCCACCCAATGGCAGCTTTCTGCAGGAAAACCTCTTTTCCTCAGTGAATGCTGCCGATTTGAACCATCTCCTGTGACTTGAGGTACGTGGCGATGGGCAACTCTACTAGAGAGTCAAATGCTTGACGTCAGCTTCCAGTAGTTGGAATCATAGAATGGTTTGGGGTGGAAGGGACCTTAAAGACCACCCAGTGCCACCCCCTGCCCTGGGCAGGGACACCTCCCACCACACCAGGTTGCTCCAAGCCCCCTCCAACCTGCCCTTGAACCCCTCCAGGGATGGGGCAGCCACAGCTTCTCTGGGCAACCTGGGCCAGGCTCTCACCATCCTCACACCAAAGAAGTTCTTCCTAAAATTGCAGGAGGACAACTGCTTCTGGGGAGGTGGAGCCCAGGCTTCCCACCAGTTGTGGATTCAGAGCAGAGCTCCCCTTCAGAGGTCCACAGAGAACCTCGAGAGATACCAGGAGTTGGTCTGCGTGACCATGATTTTGTGGTTTTGAGGGAAAGCTGCTTGCAGAAGGCCCATTGCCAGGCGCGTTCCACCTGCCCTCCAGACCATATCCTGGAAATAGGGTAGAAAGGTAACCTATTTCTTCTCCCAGCAATCATTCACTCCTGGAACTCCCCCCACCTAGCTACAGCAGGCTATTTTTAGAGCTGGATCTCCCTATCTCCTGACCCAGTGGACGTTAGGACAAGAGCGGTGGCTTCTGAGTAGAGGCCGGGTGCTGCCAGGAAACCCGAGTGGAACCTTCCATCTAATCCAGGCTCGTAACGGGGGAGGTTTGGAGTTCAGAAGGACACTGCCTTCAGGCATCTTGCTCCCGGACGTGTTTGTCATATCTGGGTGAGGGATGGTGACCAAGAAAAGAGAAGGTGAGAGCTTCAACTTAAAAAATAAGTCGTTGAGGAGATGTATTTTTAGGGAGGCAGGAATAGACAATTTAAAAAAAAAAAAAAAACCACGACGCGATGATTTTGTTTCCAGCTGAACACACGGAGGGAAGAGCGGAGGAAGGCAAAATGATCGTTGCAGAACCTAGTATTATATATTTTTATCTGAAAACTAATATTATTTAGTTTTATCTGAAAATTAGGGCGATTTTCCAGCTCCAAGCAAGGTCGTGCTGTCAATGGGCTGCCCAGAACTGAAGTGAAACAGCAACATTTGGGGCAGATCCGTCGCAGTTGCTCATCAGCTGAGAAACAGGACTTCATGAATCCCCCTGAGGTTGTGTTCACCGGGTAATGAGTTTCTGAGTAACAAATTGGGGTGGTTTGGTTTGTTTTTTTAGTTATTTACACCTTTGTTTGGGAGTTGACACCAGTCAGTTGACACCGGTCCTTCTGTAAACAGCCCGTTTTTCCTGTTGAGGGTGGCTAAAAGGAACAGATCACCGTAACACCTCCAAAAACTATTTCAGTATGAAATAACGTGCTGTAAACGAAGAGAAACCCCCATCAGTGTTTTGCAGCTATTTAATTATCTCCAATAAATTACACTGAGCGGGGCCTCTTACCTGTCTTTTAACAGGAGGAGACGGGAAGGACAGTTTTATGGCTGCCCCAAATAACAATCTCCCCTCAATCCTTTTGCCGTCATCCCTTTCCTGGGTTTTATTCAAACTTTCTAGCGCTCCTGAAACATCCTGCTCCTTTTTGTGATCCTACTTGCTCTTACACCCTGTGCCGCCAGTAAAGCCCTGTATAAAGCTGGATTTCCTCAGAAAATCCCTTTCAATCTGCCTTTTCTGATCTGAAACACCTTCCCAGAAGGCATGGGAGACGCCCCTGTAGACATTTTCCCCCCAAAACCGTCTTTTTTATTGAAAACACACCCAGCGTAGTGGTTAGATAGAAGACATGACAATTCCTAGTGTAAAACTTAGCTTTTTATCAATTTATGACCTCGTAGACAGGCAGTGGCAAGATTTTAATGTATTTCAGCAGCGTTGACCCTGAAGTATCTCACAACGAACACAAATAGACTCACCTTGAGGGTGACTTTATGGCAGGTTGAAAGCAAACACAGGAACGACCCATACTGCAGTACAGCTCTGTGAACCTCTCTTTTTTTACCTGTGAGACAACACATCCCACCACTGTCTCACAATTACCCCTCCACACCCCTCCCCCCCCAAAAAAATCCAAATTAAGCTTTAAATAGCTTATAACCATCATTTTCATGCAGCTAACGTACGGAAACCCTGCTCTAATGGAGGCTACGTTACTCTACTGTCATGCTAACCCTTTTTTGCTCACAGGGTGCAATTAGAAAGTGATTTCAAAACGCATCCATTTCTTTGGCATATATTTGGTGGCCTTCCACAACGTTGCGTGCCCTGCCTAATGCTAACGAAGTGTCTGGCGCTACCCGCCGAAATGAGAACAAACACACTCACTTTGGGCCGAAGCACGGCACGAGCAGCACGTTGCTTCTCCATCTGTTTGCTGCTGCAAAAAGCCAGCTCCCCTCGTGCTAAAACCCTCCTCCAGGAACCCAAGTGTTGCACTGGTCCCTCTACCCAGAGCATCCAGGAAGTTGGGTGTCATCTCACCCCCAACGAACGCAGGGGTATCTCTAGCCCCCTAGTGAAATCTGAAATTTTTAAGTGCTTTCCCACAGGGAAACCTCTTGCTGAATGCAGCCAGAGCCCTCCAGAACCTCTGATGGAACCAGAGCCTCCCAGGAACCTCTGATGGAGCCAGAGCCCTCCAGGAACCTCTGATGGAGCCAGAGCCCTCCAGAGCCTCTGATGGAGCCAGAGCCCTCCAGGAAC